AACAAGTTGAAGGTATATGGCAACCCTGCATCAAGCAAGTCTATTGGTGCCATTTTTCCAACATTTGCTCACTTCATGTCTCTGTGTTACACTTTGGCAATTCTCTCAATATTTCACACTTTTTCATCATTATTATATTTGTTATGGTGATCTGTGATCAGTGATTAAAACTCACTGAAATTTCAGAGAATGGTTAGCATTTTTTAGCAATAAGGTATTTTTATTTATTTTTTTTTTTAAATTTTTTAAATGTTTATTTATTTTTGAGACAGAGAGAGACAGAGCATGAATGGGGGAGAGGCAGAGAGAGAGGGAGACACAGAATCGGAAGCAGGCTCCAGGCTCTGAGCCATCAGCCCAGAGCCTGACGCGGGGCTCGAACTCACGAACCGTGAGATCGTGACCTGAGCTGAAGTCGGACGCTCAACCGACTGAGCCAAGCAATAAGGTATTTTTAAATTAAGGTGTATACATTTTTTTATATGTAAGGCTACTGCATATTTACTAGACTACAGTATAGTGTAAACATAACTTTTTATGCACTGGGAAACAAAAAAATACATGTGACTTGCTTTTTTGCGATATTCACTTTATTGTAAGTGGTCTGGGACCAAATCTGTAATATCTCTGACGTATACTTGTATAGTTTTCTTCACCTTGACTATATTTTGGAAATGTTTTCCATGAGAATAGGCAACTCAGTAAATAAATGAAAAAACGATGATAGTTACCTTGCTGAGAGAGAACTCCGAGGAGCTCACACTTGAATGGAGTCTTGAAGGATAAATAAGAGTTTTCTAGGGGACGCCTGGGTGGCTCAGTTGGTTAAGTGTCTCACTCTTGATTTTGGCTAGGGTCATGATCTTGCAGTTCATGGGACTGAGCCCTGTGGGGCTGGTAATTAGGCTCTGTGCTGTTAGCTGGGGATTCTCCCTTGGGATTCTCACTCATCCTAGCTCTCTGCCTCTCCCTTTCTTGTGCTCCCCTCTCAAAATAAATAAATAAATCTAAAAAAAATATTTCCTAGGAAAACAAGAGGAATGGATACTTTATGCAGTGGGGGAAAGAGTACTCCTAAAAGAATAGAGGCAGAACACAGCAGTGGGAGAATGAGGAACTGCTAATTAGGTCTATATGACTGCAATATAGTAGTACAAGGCAAAGGATGAAACTAAGGGTGATTAAAGCAGACTAAATAAGCAATTAGATATTGAAGTTAAGAAGTTCAGAGGTAGACGGGGTGCCTGGGTGGCTCAGTCGGTTAAGTGTCTGACTTCAGCTCAGGTCATGATCTCATGGTCCGTGGGTTTGAGTGCTGTGTCGGGCTCTGTGCTGTCAGTTCAGAGCCTGGAGCCTGCTTCGGATTTTGTGTCTTCCTCTCTCTCTGCCCCTCCCCCACTCACGCTCTGTCTTTATCAAAAAATGAATAAACGTTAAAAAATTTAAAAAAATTAAAAAAAAAAAGTTGAGAGGTAGAACAGCTCATGGTGATGAAAGAGCCTTGGGTGTGGCTATGAGCGTGACTACGAGTTACCAAAGTGGTGTTGAAAGGAAAGACCTTAAACTTATAGATAGGTTACAATGTTGGATGGGCTCTCTATATGGATCTAAATGGCTATATGGACCATGTACATGACTATGACATCCTAAGAAAACATGATCAGGAAAACCTGGACCACTGTGACGTCCATCCAAAGTGATTAATAGTCTATAAGCCAGTAAGAACATAACTGAAATGAAAGACATTCTAACAACACAAAAATCCATGATAAAGGTGTAAGAAGATTCAAAGAAATCTGTTGTCAGTAAGAAATTATTTTTGTTCCTAACCATCATAATCACTATCAATGATCCATCATCATCTTGGGATCAACAATAAATAGAAATCATACAGTAATCATCATAAATGTCATTTTAAAAGCTCATTTATCTGCATAGTTTTATTTTAGTGAACATTATATCATCACTCCCCTGACTCAGATTTCTCTCAACCTTAGGTCTTAGCAAGGGATTACAGAATGTTACATTTCTTATATTGAAGAGCCTCCCTCAAGTCACTTGTCTGTCAAATGTTGTGGAAACTTACAATGGTATACCAGTAAAATCTGTTTGCTTCAATTTATTTTTATACAACTTTAATATAAAAGTCCTGGGCAAGTAATTGCAGTGTGCTTGCTTACCAACTCAAGGGTTTCAAGCTAACATAACAGATTCACAACACAGAAATGGGAAAAATTTACACTAAAGAAAATAAAACAAAACATGCATTTGTATCTATTTGAAGTTCTCCAATTACTTTTGTAACAGTTAAAAAAAATACAGATATTCTACTGGAAAATCATCCTGTTTACTAAAATTCCCAGTGGTGTAGGTATGCAAGAGACCCATTTAGTTATGTATGGCCCACGTGAACTTCATTTCTTGATAAAGATCAGGGAGAAGATAGGATGATGTCATTAATTTTAAGTGACAGAGAACAATATTAAATTATTAGCATTTATATAGTACTTTTCTCTTAGGATCCCCAAACTTTTAAGGCACAACCTCCCATGTTATATCATTTCAAGGATACAGGTAAGGAAAAGCTATTTACAGTTCCTTTTTATAAGATAGAAACATGAATAATACACAAAGTTAAAGGACTTCCAAGTTAATGTTATTAGTGATCAAACAAAAAAAATAAAATTAAGGTTTCTTCATCCTTGTTTCATGGCACTATGTTTGAAAACATGCTGCTTGTGAAAATAGGATATTTCAGGAATGAATTTGTATTTACAAGATGATTACAACTCCTCTTAAGAGTCACTTTTTTTTTTTTTTAAAGTTAGATGCTTACAGTGGATTTATATTATTATTTTCAGTTAGTCTATTTTCAAATGATTTTTGGCAGTGGGGCAGTTAAAGAGGGTTCTAATCACAGAATCATTGAGGAACTCATTACAATCTTAGTTATAAGTGCTATCAAAATTCTGGTGTAGGCTTCCAGAAATAACTGGAATGAAGGCAATATTCATTAACATATTGATAATATTCTTAAGAGGTAAAAACCCTAACATTTATATAAACTGACCCAAAATGCTCTTTTTCATTCTTTCACCAAAATATTTTTAAGCTCTCCTTCCTGTTGAACCACAGTCTTATAGTCCATCTGAAATGATGGCATACTTACTGGCTCTGAGAATGTTCTCCTTGCTGCTGCACCTGGACTGGACCTGCAAAGAGAGCATAAACTCAGTAATTTAGGGCTCAAAACACAGATAGCCAGATATGTATGCATACTTAATGGGCAAGCTCCTGAGGTTTAGGAGCAAAGGCTCAATATATCTCAGATATCAAAACATAGTAGTAAAAATATATTACATTTGTTTCCTATTTTTTGTCTTTTTCTTACTGTAAAGAAAGAGCAGACTTCTGAAAAAAACTGGGGGTACAACATTATAAATGGCACAGAGGCAAAACCAAAGGCAATTTTTTATTGATGTGTACTGAAATTAGTATATGGAAAAAAATGTTACAACATATTCAGGTGTGAATACAGACCCCTAATCTTAAGGCACTGTGATAACTCTTGACTAGACTAATAATGCAATCCAGGTAATAAAGTTGTAATAAAATATTCCATTGTAGTAATTTTAGTTGTACACATTGATAAGGGGAAAACAGAGAAATCCTCATATATAATATTAATGTGTGATTCCAATGACTTTTGTTACTTACTGATTATAATAATTGGTTATAATATTGGCTATGAAAGATGCCTTTGTTGGGAATCAATAAAACTGAACTCATTTATTTGCCAGTTCTTAGGTGTGAATAAAGTTTATCAATCAGAAACCCTTATGCTTTGATGCAAAAAGTTGATGTCCAAGCAGAACATTCTTTTAAATGTTACAAAAGTGTTGAATTCAAAAGCCACATTGGATGGCATACATGTTTGTTAATATCTGAGGAAACTGTATTTAAACTACACACCTCTTTTTTCCCACTCCCCAGCAGCTTGCCCCAAATGTATATATACACAACAAATTAATTTCTATTGCTTAACACAATCTACTATTGTAATGAAACAACTTATGAAAGAAATGTTGCAACTTAGGGTGGGTTATGGTTGTCCTTCCCTGAAAAGAACAATTGTTAATGTTTAAAGAAACAACAACAATAAAAAAAAATCACAAACATACACACAAGAAAAACACACACACACACACACACACACACCAAAAAAAGGGGAAAAAAGGGAAAAATAATTCCAGATGTTAAAGTTATTCCCTTTTGGCCCAGATTGTTTAGTTAGTTATAAGCTACACTAGAATGAAGAAACTAATCTGGGAGATAATATTCTTACATTCTTTTACTCAGAAGTTCTATTGAAAAACAATTATGGACCAAATGGGAAAGGAAATAATTAATGACTACTTAAAACAAAAATACAGGGAGAAAGACATGAGAGTGAGAAGAAGAAAAAGAAGAAAGAGAGGTCTGGGGAAATAAGTCTAGACAAGAGAAAAGAAAGTATGGGTTTATAGAAGGAGCCAATATGTGAATGCAAAATGTTCTGCTATTTCTTATTGAAAATTCATACTAAGAGAGTAAGAATCTCTAATGAACTTGCTGCAAAATAAACAAGCAAGTTTGTACACCATGGAATGAAAATAGGTGTAACTATACCACTACAGCCTTAAAGGAGAAAAGAAACAAACACTAATAGACAAATTAATAGACAAGCTTAATAAAGAGTTAAACTACATTTTTTTTAAAAATTTTTTTTTCAACGTTTTTTTTTTATTTATTTTTGGGACAGAGAGAGACAGAGCATGAACGGGGGAGGGGCAGAGAGAGAGGGAGACACAGAATCGGAAACAGGCTCCAGGCTCTGAGCCATCAGCCCAGAGCCCGACGCGGGGCTCGAACTCACGGACCGCGAGATCGTGACCTGGCTGAAGTCGGACGCTTAACCGACTGTGCCACCCAGGCGCCCCTAAACTACATTTTTAAAAGCAGTTCAGGGAACACAAGAGAAAGCTAATAGAGTGAGAGAAAAATCTGGGAGAGAGAAGGAAAAAAAAGGGGATAATGCTGAAAGACAAAAACAGAGTTCAAGGAAGTCAAATGGAAGTCAAGAAAGTCTTCAACAAGATGTAGAAACAGAAGGAGCCCAAACCCATAGCGCAAAGCAATGTTTGCGAATGGAAAGCAGCTCCTTTGATCAGTAATAGTTACTCTTAAGTCGTAGCCTCTATTCCTCCAGAGTTCATCTTTAAGCCCTTCCAATTTAGAGTGGAGCTAGTGTGTGGATAGAAACAAGAGATTTATAATGAACAGAGCATTTCAGATGAGTAGTTCAAATTGTCTCGTCAAATGTTTCAACAGATTTAGATGATGTCTAAATGGAAATGGTGGTGAAAAACTAGCTAGCTTTACCAAAAAGCTGAACCAAACCAAAACAGCAACAACAACAACAAAAAACCCTCTTCCTACTTTAGGTGGCTAAAAAATTAAAAAAAATGTTCATAGCATGAATTTAATAATGAAACCCAAAGTCTTGTTTTGTGGCACCTGAGTTCGTAACTATATATTTTGCAGAAATTTGGGTGATAAAAAATAATTCAGTTTCTGGAATGTGAGTATTCATTTTGGTTCACAAATTGCTAACAGCAGTGTAACCAATGTTTTCTCATTTACATTACACTGGCTATTTGACCTAGATTTGAGGAAAATCACTTAAAATCAATGATTACATGAACTTCTTTACTTTGGTGATCTTGAGTATATATTAAAAAATGAGAAAAATAATTTTAAGATATTAAAAATATATATGCAAAAGTGATGTCCCTCTTTCTTATACCATGAAACTGGTCACCTTTACAATATTTACCTAATTTTATAAAATCCCAATATGAAGATTTTTACCTAACTCACAGTGTAATGGGATTTACTTGAAAAAATAAAATCAAGAAACAATTACTGTTCTTATTCTCATATATATGGATTAGAAAGAAGGTAGCACAGGTTTGTCCCAAGTTTTACAGTTCACTTTTTTTTTTTTAAATCTTACAGTGGCTTTTTAGTCAATGGAAAAACAAAAAACAAAAAACAAAGGGAAGTCTGAAAAACAAAATAAAATTGACATTTTGACCTAATACCAAATTTATTGGGGATTAAAAATGAAAGGTATGGTGTTCGATTATCTATTACTTTATTTTATTGGATTATGTTATTTTATTACAATTAACATCTAACTTTATGGTGTTGAAAATTAACCCCCTTTGAACTGGAATTAAACTAAAATAATGTCTAGAAACAGCATTTATTATATTACAGTCAATGGAGGAAAAGAAAAACACAAGAGACTTACTGAAAACATAGGTATTCATTTACTAATCAAGACTGCTTTCAGACATCAAATAATTCATTTAATTCATTTCAACATGTGTTTACATGTATAATATAATTTTTGCTGAAGATCACATTGTACAGTAAGAAATCTTAAGCCATGAAACAGAAAACAAAAGGGGGGAGAGCATGTAATAATGGTAAAGAAAAAAAGTGAAAATGCTTTAAACAAAGCTGAGAAAATTTTAACAAACAACCACAATCTTTAAATACAGTTAGAGAAGTGACTTACCTTATGCTTAGGTCATAACAAGAATAGCACAGTGTTTAAAGTCAGCTCTTCATTATGGGAGGTACAATTGAAAGCCATAGGTTATAATAACATGAATTGCTACACAGAAATGAAGACTTTTTCAGCCCAACATGAAAAGCTAACTCTTATGGGAGAACATTTCAACTTATGTTTAATGCAGCATGAAGAACAATTGAGGGGGTAAACATCAAAAAACATGAATCTCACACCAATAAGAGAGACAGTCCAATCTCTCAGGAACACAGAATATTTAATCTGTGAGACTATAATCTGTGACACATAAGGGAAGGCACATCACTCTAACACTGAAAGATGCATGCATAATGTATAACCATCCACTGACAAGTCTCCCCACCCCATCCCACTCGTACACACACAAAACCATTAAGATACAGGGAAAAAATGTAGTGCCAAGCTGTTATGAAGAAAGCAGGACACACGGAAGCACAGCAGTGGTCATGTGATTTGAGAGGTGTTCTTCCCTTAAACCATCCCATCATCATGCTTATTTTAAAGAAGCCAGGAAAAGACCCCCTTCAATGCTGCAGTAGCTATGAGCCCCCAGCTTGAAGCTAGTGTGTGGAATTTTGATCACCGTTCCCTGCGATGTCAGGGGCTCTCCAGTGGAAGCCAGATGTGTAACACCAGTTAGTGGGGTACAATGTGTGAATAACAAACATCCTTTCCCTTCTGCATTTCACAGAAGTGAGGGAGGAGAGAAACAAATAAAATAAAGCCCATGTTAAGAATAGATTCATAACAATATAAAGATGTATAAATATTAAAATGGAGATTACATTTGATTGCAGGTTAGCACAACTCAGGTTACATAAAAACTGCCTCAATTTTGCTGCTCACCAGGCTAATATGTATTCTTTCTCCTTGCAAATATTAGGAATAAATCTATACAATATGGTTCATACTGAAAAATTCTGAGTGGTTGGTCATATGGGGTCAAAGTCGAGAACTAAAGAAGTTGTCTTTGATGGACATTGAGAAAGCCCTATCTTTCTATTTTTAGCATCATTTTACTGGTCAGCAGTCACATTTTAAATTAGAAATTAAGCTTCTGTATATCTGCTTACTTATGTAATTTGAGAAATTCTATGGCAATGGTGTAGAAAGATAATTTAAATTTTAATCTTCTTACATTTTAAAAGACAAACCACAACAAAGACTACCTATTTAGAAACGGTTACTAAATTTCCTATGTACTCTTCTCTACTGTCAAAACTTATTTTAACATGGGTTGCTCCTGTCAATAGGGTATATCAGCTCCTTAGAAAAAACTTCAACTTTGCTTTCCTATTATTGATAATAGTAGTTAACTTCATCTGTTTTTTTATTCATATGTGACATGAAATTTAGTTAGATTTTTAATAATGCAAAGATTATTTACTTATATTACCATTTCCTCTCCCTCATCTATTCTTAGCAAGCCAGAATATCCTGACCTTCCCTTTAGCATGTCTTTATTATTTTAGGCTCTAGGCCCTCCTTGAATCTCCATTTCCTTACAGGGGAAATAAAGATTGTTAAACGGCTCAAAGGAAATAAGACATGTAT